TGATGTGACAAGTGTCAAGTGGGTGTTGAATCTTTTTCTAGGCCATGGATCCTCATTTGTGGCCAGATTCAGATAGAAGTTAACCGTTATATCTCGGATTACAATAATGAAACCCCCATACTTAAGGAGCCTTCATTTTATCTTCGTTGGTCTCAATTTTTGGACCCCCTTTGCTCCGTTTCCTTTTTGCTAGTCTTTTTCTTATGATGAGCCCATTGGGCTCTTATTTTCTCATGCCTAGCTAGTCCGAGATATCTCGGACTGCTGGGCAACCCTTCCATCATCATTATTTTGCTTTATTTTCTCTCACGGTTCTCCCACTTGATCTCACAAGTGTTTGCACTAATGGTGCTAATATTTTCCACCGTCATCTCGACGGTGCTGTCTGCTTTGCGTGACCAGTCCTTATGTTGCTTCATGGTTCCCTTGTGACATCTCAAGTCCCTGCCACTTTCGTCGTACTAGTTCCATTTTTTTATCCCGCCTGTAATCCCCCCAGCGCATGTCCCATTTTTCAAAAAAAAAAATTTTGTCCATTTAGTACCCGGCATCGTCCCGGGTGTCGTCCCATTTTTATTTTAGGACCTTCTTGTCCTTGTAAGTTCCAATATCCCCTCCTCAAGTGCCCCATGTGTGCCGATTATTCTTGGTCGCGAGATCTCATCTCACGGTTGTCGTTTACTGTCTCTATTTGCCTCATGCCGAAATTAGTTTTTTCTAGTCTTTTGGGCTTCCCATGGCTCATTTTTCCCTTGGCCTAGGCATCCTTATGCAGTCTGTTATTTCGGACTGCAACTGTAGCCATTTTCCTAGTCCCAAAGCCCCACAACTTTCCCCAAGTTGAAAGAAAATGAAGTGCTCAATTTTCAAGTGCATCCGGACATAATATTGGCTCCGGATACGGCTACGTCATCTCATCCTTCTTCCTCTGTGAGCGGGTTCCACACCCTTTCTACCCATAAAAATGATAGCGCAGATGCAATCCCCTTCCCTACCTAGTCGCAAGTCGTTCCTCTCCACTGATTTCTCGTCGCCAAGGTCATTTTTATTCCTTTTCCAAGCCTTCTTGGTTTCCATGTCTTAAACATCCGATTGCTTAAGCTTTGTTCCCTAGCCATGCTTGTCCCCTGCACTATGCCGACCACCCATATCGTTCCTTCTCCCGGACTCATTCCTCAAAAGTTACAGTCCTCAATTGCATCAGCTTCCTCCTAATCGGTGAGATCGTCCTGTTCCTCATACCATAGGTCCTTCAGCCCATCCAGAAACATCTCCCCTACTACTACATTCCTATAGATTATTTTCCAATGGACGGGACTTGGGACAAACACCTCATCCATGCTGAGATAGTTTAATATTCCGGTTAGCTCCCTTGCCCAATTCTCTTCGAAGGCCCCCCTTTCGTTCGATAGACGGAAGAAGTCTTGTCGAGCGTCTTGGTACAGCCCAAGGTTCGTCATGGACTGGCATATCCGCACCAGCCTACTCCGGGTCCTGAAGACCGCGTCCACTAAGAACGGAGGCACGGTACATCTCATCGCCTCGAGTGGCCGCCTAACATTCCCTCTATCACCGAGTTTTACCCTCACATTTATCTTGTCCATCTCCATTTCTTCCTGCTGACGTGCCGCCCACACAACTTCCTGTTCTGCCCGCCTAAACAAGTCATACGGAACCATCCCTAATGCCAAGTCCACAACCATGACATTCTCTCCTTCCTTGGGCTTCCACGGTCCCCCGAAACTCCAGATCTATCAAGTTTGGCATTAGCCGGGTTAGGCTGACCTTGATCCACAATGTTTTTATCCAAAGGAAGGCGTCCCCTTCGCCCAACATCACGGTTTGGTATGCCGGCTCTAGATCTGTTCAGATCCCTTCTTCCGGCAGAACGACGGATACCCCGTCCTTAACATCTATTGGCATTTCCGATCCGCCAGAATAGATTGGGGACAATAGCCACCACGCCATCTTGGTTCAAACACCCGATCCCTGTTTTTTACAATCAAGCACCGACCCCGGTTATCGGGTTCGATCAGCCTACATCGTGGATGAGAATATTTCAGACCCCTCATCCAAGTCTGGCCTAATTTACATCCCCATTATTAAATTCTAATCTCCCCCCAGGTACCCATAACTGGTCCCCTTTCACCCAAGCTCATTCTCTTGGTTCCTTTCAAGGCTGACCTTTATCTCTTCCTCTCGTGGTGCGGACTTAGAGGGGGGTGATAATAAACTAGAACCTTAGCCTGACCCAACAACTCATATCTCAATCACTTTTACAGAGGAGGATACAAAATGTGCAAAACTCAGGCAATCTCACATACAGGCACGATTATCTCCTCACCGGCCTCTTTCCAAAGTGGTCTCTCCACTTTTACCGTCAGTAGAGTTTTATCACGTACCTCAAGCATTGCTCAACCGTCGTGAGCGCGGTACCTCAACTCCGGCACAGGGTATTACCTCTCTCCTGTGTGTCCGATAAGCGGAGAGCGGGCAAAATTCAACGTCGTTCAACCCGTTTAACGGGCCCGGGAATCCCCGTTGAATCCCGTTTAACGCAAAAACGGACCCGTTTAACGGGTCCGGGAATCCCCGTTGAATCTCGTTTAACGCAAAAACGGGGGTATCCCGTTAAATTCCGAAAAACGAATTGGGCGCGTTGGGCCTCGGACATGTGGCCCTACGAGCCCAAACACTCAAACTGGAAAAAAAACAAAAATTTACGCGCCCCCCCAAAACCCCCCCTATGGCCCCGCCCATCGGACTTTAATGAAGGCCATGCGAGCGGGACGACCCCCAGGCCTGCCACACACCCCTGGCCACGAACCTCCCCATCCCCCCCCCCGTTCTGCTGGGAATAAACAACGAAACCCCCCATGGGCCCGATCCAGCTCGCCACCAACAACCCC